AAGTTATGTGAAACCAACGACCACGGGTATTGAGCTGACAAACCTAGAAACATATTCGGGGCGAACCAGGATTTGAACTAACAATTATATGTTTCTGGCTTGCCCAAGAGACACAACAATTGTGACACCTTAGACGACTCGGCCACCATTGGATTATTGTAAGGGAAATTCTCGTGATCTCGCATTCTCGTGTTGTTGGTACATAGCACTTTTTGTCAACAGTCGACAACGGTAGAATGTGACATTTGGACATGATGCAAAATCTCGCAATCTCGCAATCTCACAATCTCGACTTGTGAAATAAGGCCAGGAAAACAGGAAATCCCGAGAACCCGAGAATGGAACATGTATTTTTTTGTCTTTTTATTTATTTTTGTATTTATTTTTTTGTAAATTGATAATTAAATGAAATATGCAATCGTAAATTTATTTATTTACTTATTACAATACATGCGCGCTCGTTGCCGTCAAGAGAAACATGTACCAAACGCTCGAAATCGACAAGTAGCCTGTCGAATCCCCTTTCCTGATGGGGACAAACAACTTAAAATATTTTCACAAGCTATAACGACGTATTTTGACCCATGATAACTGATATAGGCTTCAGAAAGACCAAAATGTAATCCTGTCTGAACGTGATGATTCACACAAAATGTTTATAAAGGTGGTATCGTCAACTGAAGAGTAGTGAACCTTAAACAATACATTACAATATAATACAAAAGATAAGCCCAATACATATTGAGGAAAACGTTAGTGGCATGCTTTCCACTTCCCGGCGTCAGTTTATGTAGTGAAAAAATAGCCGATCCAAAACATGAATATGTTTGTGTGAAGTTATAAAGTTGAGTGTCGATTTTCGCAGGCGCAGTTGTTAGGGTTTGAATACTTCAGGAAATATTTAACAAATTTAGTTCAATGCGTAATGACGCTCCCCGAAAGTACGCGACAATATGGAAATAGAGAGGCAATGTGTTAGTTTCCTTGACAGCCAATGTGAAAGCGATACAAGGTCATGGCTAGTGCATGCACCTGGTACGTTTTTCTTTTTAAAATATTCAGCTTGCATAACATGTATTTATGAAAAATTCCGAACAGTGACTCGTAAAGAGTGAGTGAGTGAGTTGGTGGGTGGGTGGGTGGGTGAGTGAGTGAGTGGGCTGGGGAGTGAGTGAGTGAGTGAGTGAGTGAGTGAGTGGGTGAGCTAGCTCACATCAGTATTTCAGTTACAGCGCGGCTGATCAGATTCGGGAAGTTGTCAACGGGTGAGTGAGTGAGTGAGTGAGTGAGTGAGTGAGTGAGTGAGTGAGTGAGTGAGTGAGTGAGTGAGTGAGTGAGTGGGTGGGTGGGTGGGTGGGTGGGTGGGTGAGTGAGTGAGTGTGTGGGTGGGTGAGTGTGGGTGAGTGAGTGAGTGTGTGGGTGGATGAGTGTGAGTGAGTGAGTGAGTGAGTGAGTGAGCTAGTTCACATCAGTATTTCACTTACAGCACGGCTGATCAGATTCGGGAAGTTGTCAACAACTGGCAACCAACCATTTAATATTTAGGAGGAGACAACGTTCATTGTCCCTAATGCTGCTCTCATAAACGCCTCTTTGTTAAACGCCGCTTAAAACAGTGTCGGCACTATGCAAACCTGGTCTAGAAGTGTCACACCGAATGTCTCATGAATCACATATCACTGGCAAACCATGTCCGACAAAGTGAGTGAGTTGGGTTTAACGCCGCATTTAGCAGTATTCCAGTAATATCACGGCGTGTCTGCTTAATGTGGAAGGAAAGCCCGAAGTCATGCAGGTGTCAGACGTTTACCACTTTGGTGAAACCAACGATCACGGGTATGGTGCTGACAAACCTAGAAACATAATCGGGGCGAACCAGGATTTGAACCCACAATCATGGGTTTCTGGCGTGCCCAAGGGACGCAACTCTGCACAGCGAATCGCGGCACCTAAGACGTCTGGGCCACCCATGCCCCCCTCACCCAGCAGTGAATGGGTGCCCGGTAGGATGAGATGGCAGTGTGTCACACCGAATGTCTCATGAATGACATATCACTCGCAAACCATGTCCGACAAAGGTGTGATCAGAAATTAAATTAAAAACATAAATGTAATGGAACAAAGATGACAAGTAAATCCACATAAAGCCTTTAATTCAAATGCAGTTCATATCAATGAAAGATGTCAGAAATACAATGCTATACAGTAAACTACGGTTATAACGAACTCAAAGAGACTAGTAATTTTAGTTCGTTATAACCGTAGTTCGTTATAAGCATATATACAACATAACTACAGCAAATAGTCGGGACCAAAAAATAAGTTCGTTATGTCCGTCAGTTCGTTATGAGCGTGTTCGTTATAACCGTAGTTTACTGTATATGTAAAGACCACCTTCTTTATTCTGACAAGATGTTATCTTGATATGTCAAGTACTTTCTGTTTCCGTGATCACCGAATCACCACTATACCATTCAGATATTTTTTTTACAAATAATAATAATAATAACAACAACAACAACAACAACAACAACAACAATAATAATAATAATAATAATAATAATAATACAGATCACTTAAGGACTGATGAATCAATATTTATTACACGAATCCTGCTCAGAGGAAACGAATCTAATAATACTGGCAAACATTTATCTGTTTATAGACAATGAAGAATGCACAGTATCCACAAAAATGACAAACCTCAAGCTCGACATAATAATGGTTAAAACAATAATAGCAAATTTATACAGGATTTTGCGCCTGGACTGTGTACGTCTCAAAGCGTATATGAATGAGTTTCGTTGAATAAACTGGATCTCGAATGAATCCCTTTTTATGCAAGTATACTGTCGAGTTCCTCACAAATCCAACATCATAACGATGATGCATCTAGACTTCGAGGCCACTTCAGCACGATCACAACTGATACAACTGTAGCATGTTAAACGATGAATCATTTAACGCAAACATCATAGAATAAAAAGCTTCGATTATCTGCAGGAACCGATTTCTTTGAGCGTAGAAGGCAAAATGGCAGTGAAAATTAATTGAAAGGATCACTGAAAATGACTGATGACACCAGGTGTCCTTGGAAAGAGTTAGCAAGTCCTGCCCCACCAGAAGACACGTTTCACAGCACTACAGCTAGCCGACTATTTAGATCCATGGTTCATCATATTGATTCACGGTGGACACTGACCGTAAACTACAGCAGTCGTCCATGTTAGTTCCGGTCATGCGCATCACGCTGTCTTTCTTAAGTCGTAAGTGTCGCAGCTCGTGGTAACCGCAACTATTCACGTATTCGCGTCTGAGATTGACTCCTTCCTCTCTTCTCTGACTGGAGTCTTGCTGCGGCGGCCGGATATCATCAATTTCGAAGTAGATGCGGTTGTCGGCCTGAGCGAGAGCAGGGGGCCTGTGACAATGGGGTAAATGTGGATGTACATCATTAAGCTGACATTCATAGGAAGTACATCTACATTCTTAGCATCGAAATACATATATATAAAAGCTCGCTAAAACAATATACAAGTGTTATGGTAACATCATTTAAGTCTCTGGGTAACCTATTCTATTAGTGAGTGAGTGAGTGAGTTTGGTTTTACGCCGCTTTTAACAATATTCCAGCAATATCACGACGGGGGACACCAGAAATGGGCTTCACACATTGTACCCATGTCGGGAATCGAACCCGGATCTTCGGCGTGACGAGCGAACGCTTTAACCACTAGGCTACCCGACCGCCCCCATATTCTATTAAGCCCAGTCAAAGCAGATTCTCTAAAATACATGTGAGTATTTCAGAGCTTGTCTATAAAGAAATCTGACAGTTAAATGTTTCAGCCGACATCTTGTTTGTTTTTTTGTTTGTTTGTTTATGTTTAACACCGCATTCAGCACTATTCTAGCTATTTGACGGCGGACTGGACTAGACAGTCCAGTGGTTGACATCATGAGCATCAATCCACGCAATTGGGATACGATGACATGCATCAATTAAGTCAGCGAGCCTGACCACCCGATCCCGTTAGTCGCCTTTTACGACAAGCATAGTGGTCTCAGTATTTTGGCAATCCTAGTCATGGACACCTTTGTAAACCAACACCTGCATGTTCTGTCAGTTATCCCAACTGACCCCCAAGTGTCAATCTGGCAACCTATGTGATGGCATACCATCTAATTATATACTGTGTTTGTTCGTATCCATTACAAACACAAATTGGTCTAGTTGTCTGATCAACCTTAGATTGCTCTGAACGCCTATGTACCTGACATACTAAAGGTAAATTGTCTACACCAGCACCCGAGCGTTCAAGAACATTTCATGTTTGTTCTGTTGCTTGAGTATTCGTGAAATCCTGACACATTCCGAGTTATTTTGCCATGATATATTAAAAAAACACGTAAATGACATAATCGAAAAACAGGGGTACAACATAGAATGTGAAACTACATGATACGGATACCTTCAGTCAAGACAGGTACTCTGGGATTTGGGTCTGTTGCCTTTAAAAAAACACTAATATCATAGTGATTAACACATGAAAACCTACCTTCCGTCAGAGGTTTCTGTGAAAAAGAAAGAAAAGTTGACATTCACTCAGAGCAGCAATTCATCACAATCCATTGCCTGTTAAATTTAACTGATATAAGTCTGAACATGATTCTAATCCTAATGATGTCGTTATATTTACGTTATGTGTTGTGCTTCACACACACATTAATAAGTAGAATGTATATTCAATGTTGCAGAACATCACGCATCCTGAGGTATTGATAATCACAGCAATATCGAATACTACAACAAACGCTTGTTCCGATCCTAGCCTAGACACAAACGATTTAGTGAATGGGCTTCTGTTGGACCCATTTGGGTAATCACACAATATTCTTTGGAGTAGCATTACGACAAGTAACTGTATTAGTTTAACTGCCCTGACATTACACTGGAGCTATTTATATTTTGACTCTCGATTCATTCCTCAATTACAATTCAACAAATGCATATCATGACGTATTTAAACACAGAACAAATCCCACCTTTTCGTCGTTTGAATGTTCTGCGACAAAGCAAGAAAGCGATGACGGAGATGATCACCGTCGTTGCAACCGAGAATCCAATACTGACTACAACAAGGGTCTCCAGCCCTCCTGGAAAAAATGGACTTTAACTGAAATAATTGAAACATTTAACACTGTTTTAACGCGGTTTTTGTATAATAAAACACTTGTTTTGCGAGATACGATATCATCTATCTATCTATCTATCTATCTATCTATCTATCTATCTATTTATCTATCTATCTATCTATCTATCTATCCATCTATTTACACACCTTTCACAGATGCATCAGTCGTTATGGTCAGCTTTTTGCTCGAGTGTGCCGATCCATTAGGTGAGGTGGACATTCCAGAAGACATGCTGTCCTCACTTGCTGAAATAGGCCACGTGAGAGTAACGATATCAGTTACAAAAAGTAACGCAGATATCATAGTTAAGCAATTATGATAAGGAGAATATCGAATTGTCAACAGTACCCGTACCCAAGCCTGACAACATTTACAGCAAACCTTCACAAAAGAATATGTTCTCGTTACTTAAGGATTAATAGGAATGCATCTTTAATTTGTGTTTAACGATCACCACTGACAAGTTTGTTAGCATATATATGTTTGAAGACAGGGACGATTTGTAATTTAATCGAGGAAATATCATACTTGACACATGTCAACACATGAAAATATAAACATACCAGGCGTTGTATCATCATGATCACCGGTTGAGTTTCTGAATGTGACTGGCACAACTGTGGTCTGATCCTCTCTCTCAGTCGAAACGTACGTCGTGTGAACTTTGTTAATGATATTCATATACGTTGAATCAAAATATAGGTGGTGTATTAATTTATAATAACTAAATATTTGTATACAATTACACTACGGAACATGCATAAAGACAATTGTGTCAAAATTTTACTTTTGTTGTTTTGCTGAATGACTGCGTTTAGTTGGTTGGTTGGTTTGTTGTTTAACGCCGCACTCAGCAATATTCCAGCTATTTGACGGCGGTCTGTAAAATAATCGAGTCTGGACCAGACAATCCAGTGATAGACATCATGAGCATCGATCCACGCAATTGGGATCGATGACATGTATCAACCAAGTCAGCGAGCCTGACCACCCGATCCCGCTAGTCGCCTTTTACGACAAGCATAGTCGCCTTTTACGACAAGTATGGGTTGCTGAAGACCTATTCTACCCCGGACTCTTCATGGGTCAACTGCGTTTAGGAAATGTACATCGTGAGGGAATAGTCAGGCGACTTGTCTCGGGTTATCGTCTCTGTTTTAGTTTATGCTGTTTCCTCTTGCACAAAATGAAATAATATTTACATACTGTTACAGGAACATGTGAACATATTCCGATTAATGTCCCGAATACACTTTCCGTCCTTCACTTGAAAACAACACAGTTGGGCGGAAATTGGGTATGATATGAACTTCACAGTTTGATACCAGTATATGGAATTAAATCTAAACGATTCAATTATATAAATCATATACTTACCTACAGTTGAGGTCGCGTCAACTTCTGAAACTGGTACAGTCACAGTGTCATCTAAAATATATGTGATGTTTATTAAAATAATAATGACAACAATTCTGAATATTTTCCTGTTTCCTCCACCTTTCACCAAACAATATTTGCATACTGTTGACTTAACGTGCTTACGCATTCCGATGTCTTTATAGGATCATTCATTTACTTGTTACTAAGAGACGAATGTCAACGAATTATTCACAAATGCTTTGATAAGTTATTTGGTACAAGCGTGGCAGGGACAGTTTGAGAGATTCAGCAGTATGAATGATATGCATTTACTTTACCTGTAGTAGATGTTGCGACAGACGGTGAAGCCGACCCAGTCACAGAGTTATCTAAAATAAGAGATATTTATTTTAATTCAATATCCATGTGCAAAAGCAGTGTGAGTATAGTTTTACTTCGTTTCATTCCAGCATCTATATGTATTTGTTCTATTACGTACATACATGCACACACACACACACACACACAACACACAAACACACATACATACATACATGCATGCATGCATGCATACATACATACATACATACATACATACATACATACATACATACATACATACATACATACATACATACATACATACATACATACATACATACATACATACATACATACGTACGTACATACATACATACATACATAGGAGTGTGAGTATAGTTTTACTTCTCGTTTCATTCCAGCATGTATTTTCTATTTGTTCTATTACATACACACACACACACAAAACACACACAACACACCTACACATACATACATTTTGGAACTTGTGTAATTAGTCTTACCTTGCACATACATACATACACGCACACACGCACGTACGCACGAACAAACGCACGCACGCACGAACGCACATACATACATACACACATACATACATACATACATACATACATACATACATACATACATACATACATACATGCATGCATACATACATACATACATACATACATACATACATACATACATACATACATACATACATACATACATACATACATAGGAGAGATTCAGTATTACGAATCATATGCATTTACTTTACCTGTAGTAGATGTTGCGACAGATGGTGAAGCCGACCCAGTCACAGAGTTATCTAAAATAAGAGATATTTATTTTAATTCAATATCCATGTGCAAAAGGAGTGTGAGTATAGTTTTACATCGTTTCATTCCAGCATCTATATGTATTTGTTCTATTGCGTACATACATGCACACACACACACATACACAACACACAAACACACATACATACATACATTTTGGAACCTGTGTCATTAGATTTACCTGGCACATACATACATACATACACGCACACACGCAAGCACGCACACACGCAAGCACGCACGCACGCACGTACGCACGCACAAACGCACATACATACATACATACATACATACATACATGTAACAAGGCAAGTTGACCTACTGAAAACGACCACCACGTGTTCCCAGTCACAGCCTGCATGTCCGCCCTTCTCCAGGCTACAGTGGTACCTCCCAGCATCAGCTGATGTGACGTCAGAGAGTTGGAACTGTACAGCGACTTCATCCGATGATGTGATGACTTTCAGGATCTTGATCCTGGTCCAGTAGGTTTCCCATATGTAGACTTCAGCAGAGTCCATTTCAAACACGTTTCTATCATTAGGGTCTTTCAGGTATATTCTTGACTGATGTCGGGGTGTCCTCATGGAAAGCAACACAGTGTCTCCCTCGTGCACTTCCAGGTTCTGAGGAGACTTAGGCACATCTACAACACAGTCAGTTTTCTACTTATAACAATATCGACAGTTGCAATGACATGAGTAGGTGAGGTGTGTTTTACATCGTATATTTGTAATACTGTATTTCTACACAGCCACAGTTATTGTGGGTCTGTCTTAATTTGAGGGTGAGAGGAGAGCTTGCCAGAAATTGATGCGGGTCTAGGTATCTAACTACAACTAAAGTTCATCTTACTCGAACGTATAAACACTGAACAGCCAAAGAACTTTTTCTATCACTTTCACAAAATCAATGGGTAAATAGCAAAATCTAATCAAAACGAAAACAGAACTTTTATCAGTAAAAAAGAGTGTGTAGCTACTCTCACACACATGAGTCCCAAAGAGGGACGGGTCACCCGAAATTGCTACAACAGAAGGCGACGTCTTAAACACCTAAAGCAACAACAATATCGATGTTATCGGCATGGCTTGCTTATGCAAAGTAGAATATACTACGTCTCAGAGAGGAACATACTTGTATGGAGCTATGTTATTCTCAAACTGGGATGTTCCATTACTTATCAGAGGTAACAGTTGGCTTCTTAGTTGTGTTTGAAATTTATTTTTTTAAGCTGTGTAACAACAACTGGCTGTCTAACAAATGGGAGGTTACACGTGACACTTGTAATGAATACATACATTCTATGCTAAGGACATAGTCCACACTCTGGTCTGTGAGTAGATTGTCCCCGACCACTGTCTGACAAGAGTATATGTCTGCTCTGTCCTTCCTTGTCACGCCACCGATAGTCAGGGTGCTGTTCATGCATCGCCCGCCTCTACATCTCATGCTACCAGACACCAACTGATGCCTGCCTCCATTCTCCACTCTTACTCCGCTCCTCCTCCAGACAAAGGACATGGGCAGGTTCAAACTGGGGTAACTTTTCAGAAAGGTGTGGCATGTCAGATTAACAGAACCGCCAAAGGATGCCTTTTCCGGGCCCTCGATATAAGGTTCTTGAACTCCTGTTGAAAAAATAACTATATATGCAAATGGAGTGGCTTATATATTTGTAAGTGTGTTGTAAATGCTGTCGTAATAGGGTTCAATACCGATATCGGTATGATGATATCACCAACGTAAATATACATTGTCAATGCAAAAGACACCAGTCTAGATTATCCGCGGAAACATTTGGCGAAATATCTGTGAAATTTATATGAATGGACATACATTTTTTCTGGAAACATGATTATCCCTCTCCAAAATACCATGTTACAGCTGCCCTGGTCTGTGACATGTTGATATATTGTGTAGACTTAGTTACCATGCTCAAATACCGGATAGTGTTTCTGTAAATGAACTACTTACGTATCACAACTAGCTGTTGCCCACAGTTGGGAATCTTTGTTCCTGGACGTTGTGGTGAACCAAGGTAGCAGCTGTACTGACCAAAGTCATGGTCGTCAGCGCTACTGATCACGAAGCTGAAGAGACCAGTTCCTGAGGATGTTATGTTTCCAGTGAAGTCTACTCTTGAATTCTTACAAGTAATATTGACTTTGTTGTAGTTCGTAATGTGAATCACATTTTCTCCCATAAAATCGTTTCTGATAAAAAAGTCTTTGTTGCCAGATCCATGCAAATTCCAAGTCAGAGTAGCTGTTTCTCCAAAACGAATATAAACATTTGATGCAGCTGAAAGATAAATGCATCAAATATAACATTTATATTTCAATTGCTTTTCCAAACGACTACACATTTACTGAAACACCAAATTATTTACTTGTAAAATAGTTACAGAACACGCGCAATTGGAAGATTACAGTTGTAATACCTACCAGCCAAGATAAATTAACTATAGGCATATGAAAATACGGATGTTCTTAAACCTATTTTGCGTAGTATATTTATGCATTTACATCGCATGTAGTAGCAAAGTTACATGTACTGAGGGAGTATCCATACTATTTGTCTAATACATACCCATCACGATAAGTGTCTGTCCACAATTAGCAATTGTGAATCCTCTGTTATCCGGCGACCGCGAATAACACTCATACCGGCCTTCGTCATGAAACTTGACATCTCTGATGATAAATCTGAACAATCCTGTTCCAGAAGATGATATGTTCCCTGTAAATGTGATCCTAGATTCTGAGTTCACGTCAGTGGCATTATTGTAGTTGGTTATATGGAATATGGCTTTCCCTGCGCGTGTGTTCCAAACGGTAAACTCGCTGTTTCTAGGTCTGGGTAGATACCATGACAGTGTAACATTTCCTTCAACGGTAACGTTTCCTGAAAGGCAACAAGAATATTTTTAGCTATAGAATGCTATTGTAAATGGAAGTGTAAAGATACAATCACACGTGTACGTTCCTGCAGATCCTTTCCAACTAGCATATCCACGACATATTCAATTCCATGAATGATCAATGTCATGTCAACGGGTATTATTTCTTGATGTTATAACTTTGTCACATATTAACACACTTGTCACAGTTTTTGTATGAACGTTTATCTGTTGAGTCTTTATGTTGGACCCCCGTCTACATATAATTCTAAGATTAAATTTTCCATTTTCTTCGTGAGTGAGTTGGGTTTAATGCCGCTTTTAACATTATTCCATTTATATTATGGCGTGTCAGCTTAATGTTGGAGAAAAGCCCGAAGTGATGCGGGTCTCATGCGTTTACCACCATACAGGTATGGTGCTGACAAACCTAGAAACATAATCGAGGCGATCTGTCATTCGAACCCACAATTCTAGGGTTCTGGTTTGCCAATGATTTTGGTTTCGAATCCCCTAATTATGTTTCTAGGTTTGTCAACACCATTCCCGTGCTCGTGGGTTTCACCGAAGTGGTAAACGTCACTTCGGGCTTTCCTCCCACATTAAGCTGACACGCCATGATATAACTGGAATACTGTTAAAAGCGGCGTTAAACCAAACCTACTCACTCACTCACTCAACTTGGAACTGCCTACCAACTGTTACAGCTATCAACATTCAACTCAGTCACAAGTGGTTAACATATCTGGATATATATACATTCTATAAACATCATGCCAAATTATCAATTTAAAATGGATTTTTGTGTAAATTGCTTAGTTGACAGCCTCTAGTACTAATACAAACACAGACGTGCGTTCATTCAATAATCTTGAGCATGACGTAAAACTACATTTCACGTCACCTCATCCCTTGAGTTATGTATGTTTTTATTGTATCAGTCTTACCTGTCGGCGCCCCTCCTATACAACAATGGGAAAACCACAAAACACAAATGACAGTAGTACAGCTCCAACTACACATCATCCCGCAGTGGTTCGTGACTGATTATATCAGTAACTAACTCGTCAGCGTACCACGCTCGCTACAAATACTTCCTCTGTTCTCTACCCTTCAGGCATAACACAGCCCGTGGTCGAATAATCAAAACAAGTCCGCCATATCATACACTTTGAGACCTGGCAATAAATAATAGCAATGTTATCGTTTTTAATACTCTAATTATCCACGTATTTCATTTCGTCCCATCAACTTATACCAGGAACAAGTCACTTTCCTGTTCGGTATATTTATAGAGTGCTACGTTTTATACAGATGGTCATGTACATTTCTTCCGTCAAGCTTGTACACACCTTCCTGGTGATGCATTTATTCTTAGAAATTGTACAGTGTGATCACACTCTGCGAAAATTCTCGTCACAATATGGTTGCAATATTGCCGATGTGACGTTAAATTTTGACTCACTCACTCACTGTCAAAACTCAATATGGGACTGCTTCCAACGACTATGTAATAAACGTGGACACGGTAATAGATGTCCTGCGGGAAATTGAGACTTTGGCGTGTGAACTTTCAGATGGATCAATTTTACTTAAATGAAAACCAAAGTAACATCTGAATGATATGAGTCAAATTTTCCTTGGCCTTTCAATTTACTAAAGCCAAGTCCCTTTAAGTCTCAAATAAATCATCGTTTTTTCTTCAGAAAGGTATTCATGTCAGACAGAAAACTAATTAAAACCTGAAGATAGCTCACTATGCAACGTAGCTCAACAGGAAACAGATTTTCTATAATCGATTCGTTTCATGTTTGAAGGTTATGTTGTATAACACGGCTGTTCAACCCTGCTTACTTCTGTGCAATTTAACTACAGTGCTCGCCTGGTATGGATAAAATAGCTGATAAACTGACTCAGCACTTCGCGCATGCGCAGATGGCTGTTGCTGAGGAGTGAAATGTTTTAAAAATGGCGACTACCTTGACAACAGTAGCTACCAGCACTAAACGCTTCTCTGTGGTAGCTTTTTTTTCACACTATCTCTATAAACCAGATATGTTGATGGTTCAAGTTTCATTACCCTGTATTTATTATTATTTGTTTAAAGGTGCATCTTTTGAGCATTCACTATGGGAGAATCGATATGTGGTCGTTTCATTTTGGGATATTTACATATGAGTTCGTTTTGTCTTTTTTGAGTTATGGTCCAGGTGGGGATATCCGGGAAAGGTTATTGGCTATTTGACAATTATTTAACGATATCACTGATGTATCTTTTATCTTTGGTCAAATTCTCTTGTTCTGATTTTGTAAATCCGGGTAGAATTATATGCAGTGTATTTTATTGTTAAGCAATGATTGTAACTGTGTTGCAATGTTTCTGTTGTGATTCGACAGACGTTCTTTGTAGTGTGTTTGGGCAGTGATCATGCGTCAGGAAGTAATATTACTATATTATGGTGGACCAGAGTGGTGTTTAAACTTCCGGTCCGGTTTACCGGGGACGGTGGTAGTATGTTTTCAAAACATGTGAACTTTACAGTATATTGTTAGGTCGTATATAACGGGACAATAGCGTGTATACGTATCTCTCACGCATTTCATCGCTTTGGAACAAACATTCATGTGAGGATCGCTCATCATCCCCGATTCCCTGCCTAGCCAATCTCGGAAGCTTGAACACTCTCGCCGCTTCTGCATAGCTATCTCAGTTAACGTATTGTTTCCATTACGTAACAGAAGTA